GGGGCTGGTGAGAAGTTCTCTACCGGTAAGTGGTGGGTCATCGCTGGTTGTCGAGGGGATTGGAGCTTGGGGCTTCCGTGGTGCCCTGCTCTCCCCTAGTTTTCCCGTTTTCCGTGGCTTCATTTGCATTTCATTTCTTAGCTCGACTTCGTATAGTCTTATTCAGACTCTGGAAGGTTAAAACAGCTGGGAAAATTAAGCATTTTCTGTGGAAATGTATCTCAAATGCCCTGCCTGTTGCAACACACCTGAAAAAGAGAGGGTTAAATCTTGACACAACATGCTCAATTTGTGGTGAAGCAGCAGAATCAGTGGAGCATCTGTTTATCTCATGTCAAAGAGCTGGCAAGGTGTGGAAATTAAGTCCCTTGCAATGGGACAGTCTTCATGGTTATACAGATTCATTCAAAGAATGGTGGTACCAAGTTTGTTCCCTTGATCACTCCGAGGTAGCCGAAGCTAGAATCCAACTTACAACATATATGCTTTGGTGGCTATGGAAATCAAGGAATTTGTGGATATTTCAAAAAGAATTAATCCCAGAACACACCATTATCAAATTGGCTCTCTCAGAATGGATGGACTTCTCCTCAGCTTCTTAAAGCTTGTAGCTTCTGTTTCTGTTTTAGTTTTTTCTTTTGCTGCTTTTTCTTTTCCTTTTCTCCTGGCAGTTTTGGGTTAGGGATACTCCTTGCTAGGCCTTATGGCAGTGGCTGGAGTTTCCCCTTCTTTTGTTCAGGCTTAGTTGTTGTTTTGTAGTTTGTTGTACTATTTGGTTGAGGCTCTAGACCGCCTTGTGCGTGTCTCTCAGTTTTTATTTTTCGGATTTGTATGTCTTTGTATTCGAACCTTGTTCGCTTTGAGTTTTATAATAGTTACCTCTGTCGTTCTGGAAAAAAAAAAATCCAAAAATCGAATTAAATAGATGTACTTGTCTATTTAATTTTCTTAAAATTTTACAAATCAAAAATCGAAATTTAAGAAGATGTCCCCGTCTTCTTAATTCTTATTTTTTGCTCTTGCTTTATTAAATTATTCCTAAGTGCTTAAATTTTTTTGAATTGTCGAAGTGTACTATTTGTTCATTTTGTTTTATAAGTGCCTAATTTGAATTATGTGCCTAAGTATTTTCGTTTGCTTTGCCTAAATGTTCTTAAATTTTGCCTATGTTGTTTTAATATGCCTAAAGGGGTTGTATTCAATTGAGATTCTTAAGGACTTTTTAAAACTTTTTAAATTTGGTGACTTTTGTGGACTTTGTAAAACTTTCATGACTTTGGTGGATTTGTTGAGACTTTCACAGAATTCTTATTAGTGACTTTTTAAGACTTTCATAATGGACTTTTTAAAACTTATTGAGACTTTTATATACTTGTAGTTATAATATTATGTTTGAATGAAACATTTATAAACGTAGCATAATAACTAATATCAAGAACAATAAATGAAAAAAAAATATTTTATATATATCCTCAAAAAATTTATGAATCAACTCATTGTTATGCCAAATGGGTTATTCACTAAAAAATTGTTTAGGATTTTAGATTTATTAAACGAGCAAATTAATCCGAGCTTCAACGAATCGAACTATGGAAGATACAAACATTGTTGAAAAATACTAATTGTATTTTATAAAGTTATTAATAATATTCAAAATAATTCAATATCAACAAATAAACTATTAGAAAATAAAATAGTTTTATTAATATTAAAGAATAAACATTGACAAATAAAAATAGAGAACAAATAAATTATTTGCAAGTGCAAACTATGGAAGCATTTAACCTTTGAAAAATCAAATTCACAAGATAACAAAATGAAAGAATAAATGTATACATACATAAAATAACCATAATAAAAAAATATATAAAATAAAGATCACGTTAAATATACGTAATGGAAATAAAAATTATACCAGATATCAAAATAAATGAGTAAAATAATAAAGCATGAAAGTGATATGAGATACAAAGTCGTGTTCGAAAGAAAAAAGAAAGGGAGCGTGAAGAGAGTCACATAAGTCCAGCAAAATCTCACTAATATTGATGAGATTTCTGTGGAGAACGAAGTGACTTGATACTTTTACCATGAAGCTTCTCCACAACTGCCCGATACTCCTTGAATTTCTCAAAGCGTTCAGACTTACGGTGCAACAGGTAAACGTACCCAAATCTCGAGTAATCATCTATGAAAGATACATAGTACTCGAAACCTCCTCTAGCCTGGATCGACATAGGACCACACAAATCAGAATGAATCAATCCTAGCACTTCTTGGTTCCTATACCCCTTTGCCGTAAACGGCCTCTTGGCTATCTTACCTTCCAGGCAGGATTCGCAAGTTCGATAGTGCTCTTCCAAGAGACCGAGATGTCCACTGGCCACTAACTTTTGAATCCTCCTAAGGTTGATGTGCCCAAGTATAAGGTGCCACATATATGCTTGATTCATCTGCGAAGACTCATTCCTCTTATTAGATGTAGTTATGACATTATTCAATTCATTTTGTTGCACTGTGGGAGAGTTTGGTTTGAGAACATATAAATTGCTAACTTATGAACCACAATATATGAAACGATTTTCAAAATGAATAATAACCATGTCATCAAACGAAACTGAAAATCCATCCATAACGAGTTTAGAAACTGAAACAAGATTCTTTCTAAAACTAGGAACATAAAGGCAATTTCTCAAAACCAAACTACTACTATCAAACGATAAAGTAACGTCTCCCACTGCAACAGCCGCCACTTTCGTTGCATTGCCCATGTAGACGGTGATCTCTCCCTCCCTAAGTCGTTTGGTTTCCTGGAACCCGCGCAAGGAATTGCAGACATGATCAGTGGCTCCAGTATCTACACACTAGGTTCTGGTAGATACAACCAGTAAACATGTTTCTACGACA